TGTGTGTGTGTGTGTGTGTGTGTGTGTGTGTGTGTGTGTGTGTGTGTATGCGTGTATGTTTTGTTTTGGTGTGTGTGTATGTGAAGACAGGGGCTCCAGAGGTGGTAGTTGGGGCTAAGGGAATGTTATAGCCAAGATGGGAGAGAGAAGCAGAAGCCATATCCTTCTGCGTTTCAGCACACAGAAAGGACTGAGAAGAGAGAAGCAAGGGTAGAACTGGGGTTACACATGGAGACCATGCTATGATAGACACTGTGATGGCTATTCTTGGTTGTCAACTTGATGCATCTGGATTTAACTAAAATCCAAGTGTCTGGGTACACCTTGGACGGATTTTGCTTGATCGAATAATTTGAACTGGGAAGACCCATCCTGAGTCTGGATCTTTGGAGGTGGGAAGATCCTTCAAACCTGGGCCACACCTTCTGGTGGCATGGAAGAAGGAAGTTCCCGCTCTTTGCTTGTGTGCCCTGACTCTTACCAGCAAGTCCACTGGCATTAGAGCCTACTTCTCTGGGATTCCAGCATAGACTGAAGACCAGCTGAGACATTTAGCCTTGTGCACTGAACAACTACTGGATTCTTGGGCTTTCCATTGGTAGACAACAATTGTCAGACTAGATAGACCATAACCTGTAACCCGCTCTAATAAATCCCATAAATATATATGGAATTTATTTGATCTATATATGTTGAATTAAAGTTTTTTTTTCTATTCTTGCTTTAGCTCCCAAATAATGAGACAGAGACCTGTTATATTTATTAATAAACTTTAAAGCACTTTAGCTGGGCAGATTTTCATCCATTTTAACCCCTACATTAGCCTGGCCTACTTCCCAGCCAAATGTCCTATTACCTGTCCTCTAGTCTTGTCCTGGCTGACTCTACTCCATCCTTGTTCCCATGGCAACTCTTTCTTAATGGCCCTGACAACCCCCCTCCCGTCTCTTCCTGAGACAGGGTTTCTCTGTGTAGCCTTGGCTGTCCTGCACTCATTCTATAGATCAGGCTGGCCTCAAACTCACAGAGATCCGCCTGCCTCTGCCTCCCTCAGTGTTGGGATCAATGGCATGTGCCACCACCACCTGGCCTCATTTGTTCTTGGTTCCATATTTGCCCGAAAATTAGTTGTGTATTCTAGACACAGTAGAAACTCAATGAATAACATCTTTTCTCAATCTTTATATGTATTCACACATGCTTTTTAAAATATTTTATTTTATTTTATTTTATTTTTTATTTTATTTTAGATACAGTTCCATTTTGTAGCCCGGGCTGGATGTGAACACACTAGGGACCCCAACATGGCCTGGAATTTCCAGTGTTCCTGTTTGTGTCTTCCCAGTACTGGGATTAAAGGCATAAACTACAACACCAGGACTTTCTATATTTATTATTACTATTGTTTTTGGTTTGTTTGTTTTTTCCAGACAGGGTTTCTTGGTAAAACAGCCCTGGCTGTTCTGGAACTCACTGTGTAGAGAGGCTATAGCCTCAAAGTCACACAGATCAACCTGTCTCTGCCTCAGGGGTACTGGGATTAGCGGGATGTGGTGGCAGAGGCCTTTGATCCCAGCACTTGGAAGGCAGAGGCAGGTGGATCTCTACGAGGAGTTCCAGGACAGTCAAGGCTACCAAAAGAAACCCTTATCTCGGTGTGGAGTGGGGTGGCCCCAGGAAGACTGTTGGGATTAAAGGTGTGAGCCACCAGCCTAGCTTTTGGTGGGAGGTGAGCAGAGAAGGTGTTTCAAGACAGGGTTTCTCTGTAGCCCTGGCTGTCCTGGACACGCTCTGTAGACCAGGCTGGCCTTGAACCCACAGTGCTGGGATTAAAGGTGTAAACCCTATGGCCTGGCTCTACTGGGTCTCAACGTAGCTCAGGCTGGTGGAACTCTCGATCTTCTTGCTTATTTATCCCTGTAAGCCCTAGGACACAAATTTCCCACATATTTTTAAATAAATAAAGCTAGAAAGTTAATGTGGTGGCAGGAATTGTTGGCAGAAGTAAAGGAATTCCCAGCTCCGGTGCATACATCCTGCAGTGCCTGGCCATTCAGGGAGTTTGGGTCTCCACCATAAGGGAGAACAGTAGCCAAGGGATATTCGATCCAGATGTCAGTGAGGCTGACAGGGCAGGCTTTGGCTATACAGAGGCAGTGGGTTTTGCAACCCAGTTGCGGAAAAAAGCACCTCAGGTAGTAAGCCAATTTGGTGGGGCAGGCTTATCAAGAGAAAGCAGCGCCTTTAGCCCGGAGTGCGGGGTGGTGCGCGGCTGCACCGGCCGACTTGTCAAGTCTGCACAAAGGAATGCTGTGCTAAAACGAAACCTGAAAAACGAACAGCCATATTCACGGACTGACAGGGAACACGGTGTGCCCGAGGACGCTTGGAGAGACACTAGGAAAACACGAGGTGCTCCGGGCATTCGGGAAGGCAGCTCCAGGGTCGATCCCCTCCGGGCTGAAGTCAGGCGGGCGAGACGCTGGCAAGAGGTGGGGAAGAAGGAGTTGGAAGGAAAAAGGGGCAGGAGCAGGCCCACTCGGCGCCGGTCCGGGGACGAGAACGCCGGGGCAGACGCCGACCTCTCCCGAGCCCACCAGCCAGAAAACCACTGAGCGCCCGGAGCCTGCCCGCGCGCTTTTCCGGAACGCGCGGCTCGGCCGGCTCGCGGGCTCCGGGGCGTGGCGTGGCGGGGGCGTGGCCTCGGGCGCGAGCGTCGCGGAGGGAGGGTGTCACGCAGAGGGAAGCGGCCCGCGGCGGAGGGAGGGGAGGCCGAGTCCTGGAAGTGGAGCTCCGCGCTGGGACTGGTTCCTTCGCAGCCATTTTCTGTCCAACCAAACAGCCGATTGGAGACGGGAGCCAACCAGGGCTGCATTGGAGGTTTGTGTCTCGCTTCGGCCAATGATCGCTCCTAAACCGACTCCACTTTAGCTCGAATGAAATGTCCGTCTCCTCCCGGCGCCGTCCCCGCCGCCAACGCCGCGGCGGCCGGGGGCCACTCGCCGTCCACAGCCTCCGGGCGAGCGGGGCCTCCGGGCGAGGCCGCCCTGCTTCGGGCCGGGCCGAGCGCGGGGCGGCGGGCGCT